CACCAAAACCCCAAAACCCCAAAACCCCAAAACCCCAGTGAGAACCTATTTAATAGAACAAAGTCTAGGTTAATTATATTAAAACATCACTTAAACTCAAACATGGAAAATAATACACCAGTTACTGAAACTAGCGAGCTTGAATTTTTGAAGGAAGGATCACAAATTCTCCTTCTCAGGCATGCTAACTCTAAGTACAACTTCGCCTATGAAACAATGACTTCTAAAGGTTATACTGAGGAAGATGAGAAGAAACTCAGAGTTAAAAAGGATCTTCGAGATTCACCTCTTTCTGACCTTGGCATCCAACAGTGCATTAAAGCACAACCTTTGGCGAACAAGTTGAAGGTGGATCATGTCTTTGTCTCTCCACTTAAGAGAGCTCTTGAGACTGCGTACTATGTCTTCATGAATCATCCAAATTTCGACAACATTCAGTTCATCCTAATGCCGATTCTAAAGGAAGCGATTGACACCACTTGTGATATCCCGGTGAACGTCCAGGAGACTGTTGAAGAGTTCAAGGGTAAATTCCCGAAATTCGACACATCTGAGCTTGAAAAGTATTCAGATCCTTTGCACTTTTTCTTGGAAGACATCAATCTAGATTTTTCTAAGAAGATCCTTTCTTCAAAAGTCTTGGATTCGAATGACCCACTCTGTTCAAATGCATATGACCTGCTTTTGGATGAGATCAATGAGAATTACCCAGCTCAGATCGAGACAAGGAAGAGCGCCATTACCCGTGTCAATAAGGCCAAGAAAGTTGTCAAAAACTTCCTGGAAAGTACCGAACTAGACTCTGATTCAAAGGTCGTCCTCGTTGGCCATAGTAACTACTTCAAGATGTGGACAGGCAAGTGGGACAGAGATATCTCTTCATACGGGGATCAGCTCCCTGAGCCCTCAGACTTTGTTTTCCTCAGGAACTGACAATTTTTACCTGATAACTCTGGTTTTCCGATGAGCACAACCACTTGAATTTAGTGTCTAAATTTTCCTCGGTGAAAATTTGGTAATTTCATATACATATTAAAAAGTTCAACCATGAATCTCTAACGTGGGGTTTTGGGGTTTTGGGGTTTTGGGGTTTTGGGGTTTTGGGG